TACAAGAAGAGTCTAAGGAAACACAAGCACCTGCTGATCCCCGTACAGCCAACAGCCACCTGTCTGTCTCCACATCTGTCTGTATCTCAAGAATTCATAGCAGGCTCCCAGAAAACACCAAACTGAGCCAAACAACAAGTCTCCTTTATTCAAGGTAGAAGTTTTGTGATTTAAAGTGCATGCATTAAGAGAGCTATGAAGGGCCAGGTGTGGTCACTCACGCCTGTAATGCCAGCATTTTGGGAGGCCGAGGCGGGCAGATCACCTGAGGTCAGGAGTTCAAGACCAGCCTGGCCAACACGGTGAAACCCCATCTCTACTAAAAATACAAAAAATGAGTGTGGCGTGGTGGCAGGCGCCTGTAATCCCAGCTACAGGCTACAGAAGGAGAATTGCTTGAATCCAAGAGGCAGAGGTTGCAGTGAGTGGAGATCACGCTATTGCAGTCCAGCCTGGGCAACAAGAGCGAAACTCCGTCTCAAAAAAAAAAAAAAAAAAAAAAGAGAGAGAGAGAGCTATGAAGGTTCACTGATCTTTCATAGGCTACACTGCTGCAGATAAAATTTAATTAAACAAATCTGTGCCGTAATGTGCTCACTGCTCTGAATCACATACAACTATTTTCCTTTCCGGGCCTTTGCCAGAGAAGAGGCAGGGGAAGGGGTTCAAGCTGGTGCTGTGCTTTGTGACTGAGACATGGGGGAGGTTTTTCTAAAGCGGGAATCAGAAGGCCTTTGGAAAAGCCATCAGTGAGCAACTGTGACCAGCTCTGACCACAACACATTGGAGTCATCATTCTCCAGCCTCGCGTCTTCCCGCCTTCACCACTCTCTTTGGGCTCTGATCGTCTCTCCACTGAAATGTTGTAGTAGCCTTCTTGTCTCCAGATCCACCCAGACTCAACACAAAACCCGTCCTTTCTTTTTCCCCAGCTGAGAATGTATTGCCCAAGTGCAGCCATATAAAAGCGTAAGTTATGATTTGTAACATTAGACTTTACTGAATTCATTTATCAAATCTACACATCTTTTGGAGGAATCTGTTGAGTTTTCTAGGTATAAAATCATACTATTGGAACTAGGAGTAGTTTGACTTCCTCCTTTCCAATTTGGATGCCCTTTACTTCTTTCTCTTGCCTGGTTACTCTGCCTGGGACTTTGAGTACTAGGTTGAATAGAAGTGGTAAAAAGGGGCATCCTTGTTTTGTCCCCTAAACAAGATTCTATCAACATAGAGCAAACAAGAACAACTTTTGGGTAGGTTACCAACATGGGCTGCTGTAGCCTTGAGGTATGAATAAAACTTTGCTGAGACAGCAGTGAAGAGAAGGTGTCTAGGGCGAGGGACCAATATGAACGAAAGCATGGAGGCATTTGAAAAATGGCGAACAATGTTTCATGTTGTTGAAGCATAAGATGAAAGGATGCTTCTCGAAATTTCAGGTGAACTTAGTCACTCTTTTCTCTGCATACCTTTAAAAAGTACACATTGGCTGGGCACGGTGGCTCACACCTATAATCCCAGCACTTTGGGAGGCTGAGGCGGGCGGATCATTTGAGGTCAGGAGTTCGAGACCAGCTTGACCTACATAGTGAAACCCCATCTCAACTAAAATACAAAATAATTAGCCAGGCATGGTGGCAGGCACTTGTAATCCCAGCTACTTGGGAGGCTGAGGCAGGAGAATTGCTTGAACCCAGGAGGCGGAGGTTGCAGTGAACTGAGATCGCACCACTGCACTCCAACCTGGGAGACAGAGCAAGACTCCCACTTAAAAAAAAATAAAAGTGTACATCACATTGTAATATAATTGAGCGTATTTCTCCCAAAACACTGCAAGCTACAGGACCATGTCTTACTCACATTGGTATCATTTTCTACCATCTAGTGCCTAAAACACACTAACCACTCCTATAAATGCTTGTTGAATGAATACATGAATTATATTATATTATTTGAAGTGCCCTGAGAACACAGATGCCACTGAGAAACTTGCGGTCAAGCTCTCAGAGCATGGGGGTTAGCAAGATGCCCACAGATCCATATAATTTGCATACTCATATATTTGCAGAACTATCATAAAGGTTCCTACTGGGAAATTCACTGGAAGTGTTAGCAGTAAAGGCAATTGCTTAAAACTGTAGACTTTTATGGGTTTCCCGGAGACCAACTGTCAGGAATGAAAACTTGCACTAAGAAAAAAAAAGGTGCTTGCCAATTGTGGATTAGAAACTCATTCTGAAGGCTATAAAGCAACTGATGAGGTTTATTACACCTTTAGGACATTCTGCAGAGGCTGTCTTGTCTTGTCCCCCAGCCTAGAGACATATCCCTCTACAGCATCCCTGACCCATTGCCAACTAGCCTCTCTTTGAACAATTGTAGGGTAAATGCCACTGCACCAGAGGTCCAGGGTACCTATAAGGTTTTCTGGTCACAGATTCAGCAACTCATGAGGAGCTTTGAGTGACAAGGGAGGGATGTAGTAGAGTTTACAGAAATATCTTGTTCCCAGAGTCACCCTGCTAGACACCAATAGCCTGCATAGGACCACCCATTCTCTCGGTTAGCACTGACCTTTACAGAGCTTCTAGGTGAAAAGCTGCCACTGACCTTTGTTTCAAGTCTCTAACTCAACTCTTTATGTTGACTTTTTATAAAAATTATTTCATAAGCATATTCATTGGTCCCTCTCATCCCAGGCTTCTGTCTTTGCCAAGACTCAGGCTCTCTGGCATTAGACAGGTTGAGAATCTCTTATATGAAATGACTGGGATAAGAAGTAGTTCAGATTTTTTTTTTTATTTTGGAATACTTCCATTATACTTACCAGCCAAGCATCCCAAATCCAAAATTCTGAACTCCAAAATGCTCTAAAGAGCATTTCCCTTGAGAGTCACCTTGGTGCTCAAACAGTTTCAGATTTTGAAGCATTTTGGATTTGGGAGTTTTGGATTTGGGATGCTTAACTTTTACTGGGTTCTTTCCACCAATTACAGAATAAGATTTCTAAATTTTCACCGTAACATAGTGGTGAAGAGGTGAAAAACTGGAATCAGATCAGTATTAAATCTTGGCTTTTTTTTCTTTTATATTTTGTTCTTTTGTTGCTTATTTATTCATTTATTCAATAAATATTTTCTGAGTGATTTCCATGTATCAGACACCCTATTAAGGAGTGGGCAGTGTGATCAAGCAGCTAGAAATGATTCTGTCTCTTCTGTTGTAAAGCTCACCTTTGGCAGGGGTAGAAAGGGAGGAGAAAGAAGGATAATAAACGGGTAAGCAGATTCAAGCTAGTTGCCTTTACTATCATTATTACTATGTGATAGAGCATTTGGGATTAGGTTTGGCTTTGAGTGACCGAAAACCGAACAATGGCTTTTAAAAAGATAATTTTTTTTCTTTGACACAAAGTCTAAAGATAAGCCATCCAAGCCTGGGGTGATGGTCTCACAGTCAGCAAGGAGCAAAGCACCTTCTTTTATTTTGCTCTGCATGCTCAACCTCTTGGTCTATAGCAATTGCTGCCAGTTCTCCTATATCCCCTAAGTATTCACCATCTCTAAACATTCAGACAGCTCCTTTTTGCAAGCACCTGAGACTTTTCCCCTTTCTGTGCTAAGCTGGATGTTCAGTCCACAAAAAGCAAACTGGAAGTGCCAGGGAGGTAGCACCCCCAGGAGCACCCCTCAATCAATGGTAGACAGAACTGGGTGTATAAATACCCCAGCTCCCTCACCTTTCAAGGTGGACAGTTCTGAAGTACGTGCTGCATGGTTCACCAGAGTTCCCCAGCAGGAAGAATCCAACATAATTTCTTCATGAACACACCCATAATTGGCATCCTTCCCTTCTTGTTTCACTTTCTCACTCCTGACCTTACCAATGCTTCCCGGAACCACTTGGCAAATAAATCACTTGGTCTCAAAGCTCTAGAGCCTGCTCTTCAGAGGGAATCCAATTTATGACATGGTCTAAGATGGCCACTCATGCTCCACCCATCTCATCCACATTCCACCCAGGAGGACAGACAAAGCAATTAAAAGGAGTGGGTCCCCTCCCTTTAAAGAACATTTTTAGGGAGTTTCCCAGGATACCTTTGTTTATACCCTATTGGGCAGAACTTACATGGCCTCACTGGGTAGCAAAGGATGCTAGAAGATGTAGTTCTTATTCTGAATGGTCACATGCCCTGTGAGGTCAGGCTTTCTAGTACTAAGGAAGAAGGAGATAATGGCTATAATAAGTCAGCTCGTCAGTGTTCAAGAAATAGGCCAAAGCTTTGTGGAGTAGGCTGAGGACTCATGAGCAGTTGTTTGGGTTCCTGATGAAGCATAAATAGCATTTCACAAAGATCTTCCCTGGCAGCCCCTGAAGCCATCACACCTTGGTGCCTGCCTCCCCACCTGCTCCTCGACACAAGCTAAGCATAACTTACTCAGTCTCTCCAATCCTGGGAGACAAGCCAGGGCTCAGCTACATCAAACCGTGCCAGGATGCAATTTGTATATTAAAGTCACTGGAGCTGGCTGTTACTTCACCTTAATTTTAGATAACTAAGAAGGGCCTTACAAAAACCTAGCCCTCAAAAGGTCTAGATGATTCACACAGAGGCGTGACGGATGCATTGGAAAGATGTAGGATGGCACATGGCTTGTGACAAATGAAGGGTCCAGAGGTGAAAGCCACACTGGGAAGCTCCAAGGACACTGCAAACTCATAGAATTTCAGTGTCGCAGGGAAGTGAGGAGGTTTAAGGAAGCATCTGCTGAATGCTTACTGCATGCAGAAATGCACTATCCATGAAGACATTTAAAATTCCCAAGCCCTGTATGAGGTGGGTTTCGTGATTGGCACCGTTTTAAAGATGAAGAAACTGAGGCTTTGGTGGATGGGATAACTCACCCTTGCTCACATGGCAGGCAGGAGACAGACTGAAAATGATAGTAATAACAATATTAATAATAATGCATATTTAAATTCTTTTTATGTGTCAGGCCCTGTGCTGAGTACCTGTGATGCTTAAGCCACTCAAGCCTCACAATAACCCTTGAGGTAAGCGCTGTTATAATTTCCTTCTTACAAATGAAGAAACTGAGACTGAGAGAAGTTAAGAGCTCATAAAAAATAACACCAGGACTTAAGAGATGATCCTGTCCAATCAGATGCTTGAATCCCCTTGATGGAGTTGCCTACCTGTGGCCACATGGCCATCATCTAAAAATGTTCAAGGTCAGAGACTGCATAGCCCCCAATATCAGTCCATTTCTTTCCTGGAGGAAACCAACTGAACAGTCACTGTTTTGAGGCCCTGGACTCTTGCGCCCCATGGGAAGGACCATTACTTACACTGAATGACCCAAATGAAAGCGTGCCCTTGGACTGAGCCTGGAAAACTTTTTCTGTAAAGGATCAGACAATAAATCTTTCCAGCTTTATGACCCAGGCTGTCTCTGCTACCACTACTCAGCTCTGTCATTGTGGCTCAAATGCAGCCACAGACACGACTACATAAACAACTGGGCGTGAATGTGTTCTAACAATATTTCATTTATGGACAATGAAGTATGAGTTTTATATGATTTTCATGTTCATGTACCACAAAATATTCTTTTTCTTTTTTTTTCCTTTTACTTTTTGATTTAATTCTTTTTTTTTTAAGTTCTGGGGTACCTGAGCAGGATGCGCAGGTTTGTTACATAGGTAAATAGGTGCCATGGTGGTTTTCAACCATTTAGAAATGTAAAAATCATTCTTAGCTCGCGGGCTGTACAAAATCAGGTGGCAGACTAAATGTGACTCACAGACTATAGTTTGCCAACTCTTGGTCTAGGGTCTAGAAAAATGCCTGGGAAAACTGGTGCTCAGGAGCCCTAGTTTTCTTTCCCACTTAAAAAGCTGCTAAAGGATATGGCAGTGAATTGTTTTTGTTATAAAGCAGCAAGAAGACAACTGGAGTATAGTTTGGGGCTCGCACACCTCAACCCCAAGGACTGAAGTACTGATGTCTGCAACATAGAGAGTAGAAAGCAAAGTGGGATACAGATAGGATGCATGGGCTTTGCTAAGTAGGTTGGACATTCTTTAAATTGCCATTTGGGTGTATAGTACCAGGTGACAGTTCCTGCAATTAGTATAATGTGTTAGTGTTTTAGTATCTTGTATCTTCATCAAGACACATTTAGGAATGTATTATTATCTCCATTTCATAGGTAACGGAACCAAAACTCAGAGAGGTTAAGTGATGTACCCAATATCCACCCGGTTGTAGAAGGAACTCACACCCAAGGTTGCCTAACTCCAGTTTCTATGCACTGTGCATTCTGCAGAGGATGAGCAGACACCAAACCAAGGTCAACTTCCCTCTGGAAAAATTGGCAGTGGCTGCAGGCTGGCCTGCTGCATATTCATTGCTTTGGGCCTCATCTAGGAATACCTGCTGCTGACTTCAGCCTCTGATCTAAATCCCCTCTCAGCTTCCAGTTCCACCCAGCACCAAATGATGCTAGGAGGCCTACGCCCTAGCAGCAGGTGGAGGTCAGTGTTTACAGAAGGAAGGATTAACTTCAAGACCCAGTGGGGTGCCCCTGGATATAATCCCTGCTTCCTACAAAGCTGGGAGTCTACATGCTGTTTAGGACAAGGAGTGCCCAGTGGGGTGTGGACCGAGGAGTTGATCCACAGGCTGTGTTTTCAATAATAGGAAGAGTGATCAAAGCTGGCATCCTGGAGTGCCCATCCCATGCTGAGCCTTGGTCAAGGGGCATCACATATGTTATTTGACTTAATCCTCATGACAACCCCAGAAGGTGGGGCTTATTGCATTTACTTTGCAGATGAAGGAACTCAAGCTCAGCTGATCAATGCAATATGCTGTGCAAGTCTGTGGGACTCCGAAGTCGATGCTCTTTTACCTACTGGGCTCAGGAATGCAGTCTCCAGGTGTCAAACCTAGATCTTTATCCTCTTCAGCTTGAGATGGTGCAAAAGCTACTATCTCAGGTGTTTGAAATGACTCAACAGAGCTGGTTGAAAATAAACATTTCAGGCAAAAAATAGTTAGATCTGTATGGCATCAAACAAGCAGTCTGACAGTCACCATTCATTCATTCATCTATTCATTCATCCATCCGACCATCCATTCATCCAAAGATCTATCCATCCATCCAATGAATGAATTATTCATTTAAAGAAATAATCATCATTGCCTGAGTGTACCCTGTGAGCCAGGCCCTATAATAATTCTGGGGAGGGAAAGCACAAAAATAACTAAGATCCAGTCTCTGTTCATTTGCAGGAGTTAACATTGGAGCAATGTGATGTCTCTGAGTGTGTTGATGGGAGTAAGCTATGGAAAAGAAGGCAGAGGAAGACCCAGGCCAAAGGACCACTCAAGGCCAGGGAGCAGATGTGTCATCTAACTGGACATTGATGAGTCTGTGTCCCTTGATAGTCTCCATTTTTTTTCCTCCAGCCCACTACCCTTACTGATGCCAAAGCTGTCCTTCTCCAAAATTTGGGTCAGGGAATAGATGTCACAAGCTGGTACAACACAGGTAATGTGTGAATTTGTGAAGCATTCTCAATCTGAGCTGTCCTTCTGCAAGGGGTGTGCACTAGGAGGTACTGGGTGCACTGGGGCTGTTCAAGGAGACCCTGATGACCGTCTCCAAGGGACAAGATTTTCTCCTTCAACAAACTTCGGCTAGCATCCTCTGAGCTCAATTTTTCAGTAGGCTTGCCTTGGGGCTCTGTCCTTGACCCATTTAGTCTAGTTTTAGCAAGAATCCTGCTTGGTCAGTTTAGTGAAAATCCTCCACCCTTGATATGTGATCAAATTCCTTATCCCCCATCCTTGATATCCAATCACCCTGTCCTACGCTCAACAAGAATCCTGCTGAGTCCATTTAGCCAGAATCCCCCTTATTCATGATCCTTCATTGACCCCTCACCTTGCTCCTTGGCCACAAATCTCCACTTCTCTCTGCTGTAGCCATAATAAAGCCCAATTCTACACTGAAGTCTCTCTTCCCCTATTGCAATAGTTCCCAAATCAAAACTGTCTTCACCACTTCAACCTCTGTCCAGTTCTGGTTTCCTCGGACACACAGATGCCATAAAAGAAAGGTCCCCAGTGGAAAAGAATATTCATTTGTTCATTCAAAAACATCACTAGACCTCATGAACATAGAGAGTAGAAGGAGGTTACCAGAGGCTGGGAAGGGTAGTGGTGGAGCTGTTGTGGGGGTATGGTGGGGCTGTTGTGGGGATAAGGTGGGGATGGTTAATGGGCACCAAAAATAGTTAGAAAGAATGAAAAATACCTAGTATTTGAGAGCACCATAGAATGACTATAGTCATGATAAATTAATTGTACATTTTAAAATAGCTTAAAGAGGGTAATTGGATTGTTTGTAACTCGAAGGATAAATGCTTGAGGGGTTGGATACCCCATCCTCCACAATGTGTAATAAACATATTGCATGCTTTTATCAAAACATCTCTTTTACCCCATAAATATATACACCTACTATGTACCCACAAAAACTAAAAATACCTTTTTAAAAAATGTATTACCAGATGACACTTGCTCCAAAAAGCAGTGCGACCCAGCTGTTCTGTATCTAAGGGGGTAATAAATATCATCTACAAAGTCCGTGGGCTGACTGTTAGTTCAATGCTATCATCCTTAGATCCCACAATTTATGAATTGGCAAGATATTAAGTCTTGCTTTGCTTCAGTCTCCTCATCTGTAAAATAAGCCTAACCACAGCATTGCTGCACAGAGCCATGGAAGTCAGGTCAGGTGATGAGCGTCAGTGCTCCTTACAGTGGTGACATCACTGTAAGTGCTCAGTAGGTACCACGATGGTGACGACTGTAGCAGCCATCAGTATTAGGCATAAGAAAAGAAACTAGGTGATAGTGGCATTTAGTATCAGAGTCAAAGAACATTTATGGAATGCCTGGAGTTTTACACCATACCTAAACTCAAGAATCAATACAAGTAATTAGAACAAGGGGGTACAGACTGATCAATAGTGTGAGAATGGAGCAACAGGAGAAATTATTTCCAGCTGGGGGGATGAAAGATGTTCAAGGAAAAGCAGTGATGCGGGGACCATGTATGACCGGAATTTATACATGAAGAGGGATCCAGAGGACATTTCAAGAGGAGAACACACACAGGGGAAGATGCATGGCCCCAGCACATTACAAAGCTAACACCAGCCAACAACCTTCATCCAGAAGCCTAAAATCCAAAATGCTCTGAAAAAAAAAAAAAAAAAAAAAAAAAAAAAAATATATATATATATATATATATATATAAAAACTAGTTTTTGTCCCTAACTGGAGCTGTTCTGATTTAAACATGTATACAAATTTTATTTTCCTATTTTTTATTTTGTATGATCATGTTTTATTTTCCCATTTTGAATGATCATGTTTCATGGCAGAATATACAAGAGTCTGGTTGTGGGCTGTTGCCTCAGAATCAGGTCAGTAGCTGTTGCACCGTCTCAAGCTGAAGAAGGATAAAGACCTGGGTTTGACACCTTAAGACTGTCGGAGCTGTTCTGTATTATATGGTGCATGTACCTCATTGACTTTCTAAAGTAGGAATAGTTCAAACTTTCAAAACATGTCTGGGTTAAAATAAGAAGATATGAATGTATATTAATACCACCTAATATTTACTAAGCACTTATATTCCAGGCACTTCTCAAAGCACTTAACCAAATTAATCCTCCTGATGGAGGTAGGCACTGGTATTATCTTTTTTTTTTGCATAGATCATGAAACTGATGTACCAGAAGATTAATTATTTGCCCATACCTGCACAGCTGGGAAGTTTTAAAGCCAGGACTCAAAGCCACAAAGCATTGCCTCAAAGCCTGCACTCCTAAATATTACACTTGACCACCCACATATACTATGATTTAAGTAAGAGCAAGTGCAATTGGTTGTATCATTAATTCAAAATTCTTCCATCCTTCCTTTCTTTTTCCAAAAACACTGTACTTCCCACTGCACTGAAACAGGGCTTGCTTTAGCCAATGAAACACTAACAAAGGTGACATGAGCAGAAACTATAAATGGGCATTTGTGGTTTGGCTTAGCTGCTCATACTTGTGATTTTGCGTTTAAAAAAAATAAAAATAAAAATGACCTGGGTGACTGCATGGATTCCAGAATAAGAAACAAATAAATGAGACCTGAACGCAGTCCACAATCAGAAGCAGCACTTCCTGAGCCAACTCACAGACTCGTGAAGGAGAAAAAATGAATGCTTGTGTGGGCCACTGAGATTTGGAGTTTTTGTGGGGGTTGTTACACAGCATTATCAGAGCAATCACTGATTAATACAACAAGTTGTTAGACTTGCTGGGCATGACATGGATAATGGAGCATTTTCTGAGATGAGGATTTAAAGTTAACATTAGCCATATTGGGTCATGTCCTAAAAACAATGTTAAAGATTTTTAATTTCATCCTGATAGCAATGGAAAGCCTTCAAATGCTTTTATGGAGTACCATGAAATGATATGCCTTTGATTTCCTACATTGCAATCAGATTCATCTTTTCAAAATATAAATGGAGTCATTACCTCCGTTCCCCATCACCACACACACTTGCTTAATACCTTTCTAATGTATTCCATTGTTCTTAGGACAAAACCCCAAACCCTTCACAGAATCCAAGGCCCCTCTGCTCAGCTCCCCAACCACACTGGGACATTGGGTGTTATGCTTTCCCTTGCCTGCTGCTCCCAATCACACTGCCCTTCAGTTCCTTGAGTGTGCACTACCTTTTTGCCACAGGACTTTTGCACCTGCCTTCCTTGCTGCTAGAAGTGATTTTTTTTTTCCACTAACTCTTTGCCTACTTACCTCTCACTTGCATTGTAACTTCCTCCCAGAAGCCTTTCCCGATCTGTTTGGTTAAGTAAATTGCCCCTGTTACCTATGCTCTTCGCACCATACACTTCTGTTACATTTCACTTATGGCAGTTGCAATTTCACATTTGTGCATAAAATTTGATTTGCATCCATGTCTGCCACTAAATCGTCTGCTTCCTGAGAGCAGCTACAGGATCCTTTTTTCCCCTTGTCTTTGTATCCACGGCATTTGCACACTCCCTGGCGCATTGCTGATGCTCAGTGAAATCTGTGGAGTGAAAGGATGCTGTGGGATGACAGCTTAGATAGCAGAGAGGACAATGGATTATTCTGGTTGCCCAAAGCACACAAGAACATAACTAATCCTTCTTCCTTACATCAGCCCTTTCAACTCCCCCTTGATTTCTCTGAGACTTTGCCAAGACAGATCTCTCACAAAGCAGCAGTGTGGTGTGAATGCATTATCAATCTGTTACTACCTACCAGGAAATATGACCTTAACACACTGCAATATGGCCAATCTCTGTGACAGGTGTTCATCCCGTGTCCCTCAACATCTGCACTGTAATTTTACAATCCAAAAGCCTCCTGTAATTGGAAGAGATGAAAACATCTGGATGTTGCAAACTCTCTCGACAGGTTGTCTATACCATCACCTTCAAAATCGATGCACAAGAAATGAGAGTTTCTTGAACGGCAGAAAGAGTGGCTGGCGGCAGAACATACTGTTTAAGCCTCTTCATAGTATTAAGCAAAGACTGTCTGGATTTCCTTTGGGAGTGACTAGAATTGGGATCTGGCAACAAAAGGGACCATGGGTAGGACAGAATGATAACTTCATTTTGAATGGGTGCTAGGGAAAAAGGGAATCCATCATTCATGTAATATTTGGGAAATGAAAAAGTGAATTCAGTAAATAATCAATAAGCTAAGTTCATTTTGGTCAAAAGATGGAAGCCTGTATCTGAATGAAAGTGGAATGGAATGGTGGGTTGTTACACATGGGCATGATGGCAACATGGAGAAACTGAGGTTTGGAAAATGGGCAGTAGGCAAGTAGAGTGCCAAGGTATATGATCTCATTTCATTACAATCCCAAAATCAACTGCAGTGGTATCACAGACTGAATAAATTTTGCAGAACAGAAAAACCAAGTTGTTGATAACAAAAGTTGGCGAAGACATTGCAGGAGTAGAAATTGTACTGACTGCTTTGAGAAGTACCTTTGCATTATCTTTTAAAAATTATGACACATATTTACTGTGATGCAGCAATTACTATTTTCAGAGTATATCAAAGGAAACACCCAGGTACAAAAGAAGGTGTATAATGAGAAGTTAACTACAGTGTGTTCATCATGGCAAAAGCCTGGGAACCAAATTCAGTACTAGTGGACTGACTAAATAAACTCTGGTGTAGTCATCTATGGAACATTATGCAATCACGAAAAATGCATTAACATGTAAATACTTCCAAGATACATTATTGAGAAAGAGGGGGAAAAGCAATTTATCAAATTACATGGCTAGTATAACTTTCTTAAGTACACACACTCAATATGAACAATAATATACAATATACACAATAATTATATTGTATGTGGTGCATTTTCGGCAGCCATATATTTGCCAGCAGGTAGGAGATGGTCTGATACATTATACTATAAATTGTTAACAGTAGTCATGTTTGGGGATGGAGTGGGAACTGGAATTAGATATAGGAGATCAGTGGGAATTTTAGCACTGTCTAATATTCTGTTTTACTTTGTTTTGTTTTTCACAGAGGATAATATAGTAACACTTTATGAAATTAAAAGAATTTTTTTAAGTCAAGTTGTTCAAATAAGCATGAATGAGTAACATGGAAGCCAAGGAACTCAGCTGAGTGAAATCACAGTTGAAAAGGGAGATTCCCTCAGAAAGAGACCCAGGTTTCCAGATGCCTGGATAAGGCTTCTTGGGGCTTTTACTGATGACTGGTCATTGGGCACATGAACATTCCTAGCCCTGTGCTACCTCCAGATATCCAGGAACTTATAATGAAAGAGGAGGCAGTCAGAGACCGGGTAGGAAGATAGAGAGGGAGAGTTTTGGGAGAAGAAAAACACCCATGGGACCGCACCTGCACCACACCTGTTAAGTAGCTCATGGGGTGAAATGTAGTTAAGAACTTCCTCTTATGCCAGGACGTTTGCTCAGAAGGGACTGTCTCAACTTAGGCACAGGCACAATAAATCAATGGAAATGTCCTTAACCCAGCTCATTACAATATCATTAACATCAGCATTGTGGTTTTAGTGCCCACCCCCCAGGGGATTTTGCTTAGGCATTCATAGGTAATAACCAAGATGGAGTTACTATGGCCAACCCCAACCATGTGCAGGTGCAACATTCCCAGGGGAGAATTTTACCCCTTTCATTAAGGCAGAATCCAAAGAAAACTTCCTTGTTTCTGCCACATACAAGACCCAGAACTTTGCCCCATTCCTGGCAACCCACTTTGAGGTCCCCTCTTGCTGTTGAGAGCTTTTCTGTCACTTAATAAATCCTACTCTGCCTTACTCACTCTCCAGTGTCTGCATACCTTATTCTTCTTGGTTGTGGGACAGGAACTCAGACCTGGCTGAACTAGGGAGTGAGGAAACTGCAGCACTAACAAATGTAGAAAAAGAGGCTCTTTCATTGTGGATCAGCAACTGGGGACAAGAGAGGGGAGGGGAGGAGAAGGAAAGTAACAAGAAGTAGGGAAATTTACCGCATCTCTTAAGGAAATATTTCCCAAGAATCACTGCTGACACTAGGCATATTTAAAGAGTTTATACATCATCTGAAAGCGATTTATAGTTAAATGTCTAAATATACAAAGTACTTTTAAGCTCTGGTGAGGAAAATGCCAAGCAGAGAAGGATAAACAAGCCA